CCAAGTGGAAATTGAACATTCTCTTTAGATGCAGCTATCCAGGCCAAAACAAAGTTTGCTTGCCTTTGGATGGAATACATAAACTCAAAGGCAATTTACATATTGCTAGAGACACTTTGATAGTTTTTTGTCCAGTTAACAGCAACAATTAAACAGGGGGGTAGACAGTAAAATATTAAAGAAGCAACTGATAGACAAAGTTTTCAAAATTTGGAAGTCACTAGGAAAAAAAATGACAAACTGGCTTTGAAAAGACTGGAAAGCACTGGTATAAATAATCTCCTGCCACTGGTATAGACAAAATAGCTAAGTCCTAAAAAGAAAACCATACTCTGAGACATCCTTACCCAAATAAACTCAGCAGCCCTAACTACCAAATATGTATCTCCAATTCCTTGACAGAATCTTAAATATTCACAATTTTCCTGGCATAACCAAATACTGTAGTTAACTGAGATATTCTGACTCTTATAAAACCACGATACAATCCTGATCACATCCAAAAATGCTAAGCAAATATAAAACTATAGATGTTTTACCATAAAGCCATGTCATATATAAATTTACTCTTCTCTCTTTGCTCTTCATTTAGATGATTAGAAGCTGTTTTCTTCTCTTGACCTCTCTCTCTACTGGCCTCTGAGTTCTCTTAGAATATCCACTTTCTCTCTTTCATTATGGGAAGTTTATCAGCCCAATGTGACAAAAATGTTCAATCCCTAAACATTTTAGGCCACGAAATGTAAAAACAAAAACAAAAAAACAAAAACAAACAAAACTGTAAAAAGAGCATTCTGATACCTAAAGGAAACAAAAATAATTTCTTCCTCTCTCCCCATAGGATCAACTATGTGTGGCACTGTTTCATTTTTATTTGCACAAGAAATGGAACCACGAAACTGACTTGATGGCAGAGTACCCTATATTCTCACAACCCCAAATAAAGCACTATGCAGATTCACAATGTTAATGTCACAAAATTACAGAAACTTGTAGTAGAAATAACCTTGAGTCAGCTAGCCCAAACTTCTATAATTTGGGGATTCCCTTTTCAAAAATTTTCAACACCTTTTGCCCTAAGGAGTTTACCAACTTTTGAGGCATCCCGTTTAGTTTTAAATAAATCCAACATTTAGGTAAGCTTTTATTTCGACTAAGCTGAAATATATATCTCTTGTGATTTTTACTTAAAAGTCCTAGTTACATAGAACTATGCAAAATAAACCTACTGCTTCTTCCAAATGATAGCCTTTTAGATATTTAAGGATAATGATCACTCCCATAAGTCTATTCTTTTATCCCTAGTTCCTTTATGTCTCTCCTATAGCATATTTTTTAGATGCATGGACTAAATGTCATATACACTTGTTCCTTATTTAACTTGATTTATGTAAATGATTTTAAATACCTTAATTTCTAATCTTGCTTTTCACACTACAGAAGACCCCTATCACCACTTATCAGTCCTACTATAATGATCTCCTAAAGAATCTCTACATCTATAGGCCTCAGCTGTAATCCACCCCATTAGAGTATAGCCCCTGTTACTTCCTAATTAGAAACTTGGTTTGAAGACTCCAAACCCAAGTCCTATAGTTTGGCATTCAATACCAAACAAAAACTGGCTACAAATTCTCTTTCCGAATTTATTTTCCATGAATTTTCCACCTAAATATTCTGCTTTAGTTAGAATGGTCCCCTTGCTTCTTCCCAAAAGTGTCTTCTGTATTCCTACTTCCTTTTCTTTACTAAGATGTGTTTCTCTTTCTTTTATCTACCAAAATTTTAAAGAAGTAGTATAATATGGGGATAGAGTGAAGGCTCTAGAATCAGATTGCCTGGGTTTGAATTCTTGCTGGCTGTATGACGTAGGCCAAGTTACTTAACCTCTCTGTGCCTTAGTTTCCATGCATGTAAAATATAGCATCTATGTACCATTGCTGAAGGGTGCGAGACTCCATTTACAGCTTAGCACAGTGCCTGGCATATAAGAAACTTAGCTGATTAAGCTTAAACTATTAGCCACCCTTTCTGGCATATACTGAGTTATACTTTCTCTGCAAAACCTTTCCAGAGTATCTCAGCCTATAATGATCTATCCTCCTCTCCACTATTAAAGTAATATTATACAGTTGGCCCTCATTATATCCTGATGGTAACTGCTGGTTGTTTTCTTTACACTCAGTTCGACAAAGACAAAGACAGCTCTTGAAATCTCCTCAGAACTGGTCAAGTGTCCCATAACATAAGACAAATGGTATAGCAGGGTATTAATTTTTGCTTATAGCAGTTACTTCTCTTTCCTAAAAAAGTCATGCAAATTATTTTAGAATAAGCAAATTATTTTAGAATAGGAAAATCCTTTATGTGGGAGGGGCAAGGGGAGACTTAATTCAGTATCTATTTGCCTTTTATACATGTTCCTCAAACTGTAGATGTAAAACTGGACAGTTAAAAGAAGGTAGCTATAGATAAAGTACTTCATTTCTTGAAAAGAAGTATATTCTCCCTCTGTGAAGAATTCTGAAGTGAATTTGGAATGTACAGAGAACAAACAATGACCCTCACTTTCATTCTGTAATAAGTGAGATGATTATTTCCATAATTACTTGTAATTCAAGATTTGATAAAATATATTTTACAAGGATGTGGATACAGGTCTTAAACCTAAGATCCACAGGGGTCTTGAACTCTATAATGTGTATGCAAAATTAAATACCTACCTACCTATGTGTATTTTTCTGGGAAAAGAGTTCATTAGGTTTTATCAGATTCTCAGATAGGGCATTTTACCCTAAACAGATTAAGACTCAATGGGATAAAAGCAGACCCTAATCAGTGTGAATGAAGTGTGACATGCTGATGACTATAAATTTTAAAAATTTAGAACATCACATTTTAACAATTCTAAAGTCTAAAATTTTAGCAATGAGGCAGCTGTTCAAATCCAGCAAAAACTAAGAAATTTAAAGAGTTTTAGAATACATCCTAGGATAGCTTTCAGTTTAAAAAATTTTCTGGATCATTTTTAACAAGATTCAATTTTTCAATGAAAATGTACTGAGGGATTATAGCTTTTATTAAAAGGAGGAAAGCGCACAGGATGAAACATCTGCTTATCTATAACAACTTCAAAGTATACCACTAATAATGACAATAGTGGCTAAGATTTCCTGACTTTTACTATCTGCTAGACACTGTGTGAACACTCAATATGGAATATCTCACATATTCATTGCAACATTATGAACCAGGTACCATTTTAATACCTATTTTACAGATGAAGAAGCTGAGCTTAAGAGTTTAATAACCTGTTCAAGGCCACACAGCCAGCAAATGATGGAATGAAGATTTGTAGCCAGAAGTCCAACACCAAAGCACTGGCTTTACCCTTCAACACAGTTCAAATCAAACACTCCAAAAATCTTCCTGAGACTTACACCCCATTATTATTCCATTTTCTTTTCTAGGGGCACTAAGAAAAGGGCTAGTGAGAACAGGGTACTAAGAACAGAGATACTGAGAACAAGGTATTAAAAGTACAGGGTACTAAGCATGAGAGTACTCAGAACAGGTCTATTAAGTATGAGGCTACTGAGAATAGAATTACTGACAACAGAGTACAAAGAATAAGATTAACCAAGAACAGGACACTAAGAACACTGTACTAAGCATGGGGTACTAATAACAGTTTACTAAGAATAGGGATACTGATAACAGTATGCTGTGAATACGGTAATGAAATCAGGAAGAGATTACCTTCTCCAAATTACAATTTCATGTAGGTTCCTAAGTCTCTTTGCCTCCTCCTTTGGCGATGAACCAGCTCCATCACCTACTATCTGTCCTTCCAGCCCATATCCCAGATCTTTGAAATGACAGATCTGCTGATGTATATCACATCATTTCCACTGACATTTACTCATCTATTACAAGGGTGCAACAGAACTGTTAAGGCTTTGCACATGTGTTTATAAACTTTAATTTAGGACAAGCACTCACTCTCAACCACAAGTCCAGCCCCAGCATCCTGGCCCATATGGTTCGCGGTAAGAGTGGAGTTTCTTCTAACCACCTCCCACTCCCCAAGACCCCAGCTAAGGTCTGATACCTCCAGTCTGACGTTTCCCGCGCTGCCAGGCTGGGCGGACCCACTGCAGTTCAGGGCCTGGTCACTTTTCTTCTTTTTGTACTTGTCCTTGTACATCTTGTTGCGGTGTTTCTTGCACATCCAAGGCTTCCGCTGCTTGGCCACCTGGCTCGTGGTCTCGCTGCAGCCCTCGAAGGTGCAGGTCTTGCTCATGCTGCCCCCGCCGCTGCCCCGTCTCCGGGCTCCCCCGCTGCCACCCTCGCCCCCAGAGTGGGTCTCCTCGTCCTCCAGATCCTCCAAACTAGCGGTGCTCTCGCCTCCCCCCGGGGCGTCGGAAGTGTCCAGCAGGTCGGCTTCGTCCTCTCCTGCCTCCTCCTCGCCAGCCCCCGCCACTTCGCACAGGTACCTAATGGGCTTGCCTGCACCGGCGCCGTCCCCCAGGGCCGGAGCCTGCCTCAGGACGCCCTCGGCCGCAGAGTCGTCCTGCCCTCCGCAGGGGTGCATCACCAGCAGGGTAAACTGCGAGCCCGGGGCCGGGACGGGAGCTGGAGCCGGGGCCTGGCCCAGAGCAGGGGCGGGGGCCCCGGGGCGGAGCGCGCCGCTGGCAGCGCCCGGCCCCGCACCCTCGACAACACCCTGCACCTCCGTGCTGCTGACACCTTATGGGGCTCCACGACCCCAGCCCTTCAGCACCTGTAGGGCCCAACGGCACTTCGCAAACCAAAGACCCAGGACACGCGACAGGAAAAAAATCTCCGGCTCCGCGAAGGCAGCGCTACTGCGCCTGCGCGCGAGCTTTTCCACGCCGGGTGCCTTTCAGGGAACTCGGCGTCTCTGAGGGGCGGGGCTGAGCCTCCAGCGGAGGAACTGACTGCGCATGCGCATGTGCGGCTCTGGCGCTGGCGGGAGGCGTAGCGCTTCGCTAGCGCCGCCGCTGCTGCGGAGGCTGTGTGTGAAGTTGAAGCGGCCGGGGCGCTCGGTAAGGCGGAGCTTTTTTGCTGAAACCTACTGTGTTTAAAACGTTTCAAAACACTTGTGAACTGGAACTCCACAGGGTAAATTAGGATTGTTCCTGGGCGATTTTGTGACCTGTGGCGTTCGAACGCTAATTATCATAATATTTTGTCCCTAACTGCCTGAAGTGGGAGATGTGACGCTGGGATGTGGTGATGTCACAGCCTGGGACCGCTAGTTAGCAGTCAGGGACGGCAGACGCGGCCTATTTGAAAATAATGTAGTGGAGAAGGAGTGGGCCAGACTTGGGCCAAAGTTCTGTTTGTGTTGAGAGCTAAGTGGTTTGTTCTTGATAAATTTGTCTTTCTCTCCTGGAAACTTATTTATTTGATTTTTAATATTTGTCCTTTGCTATGACCGCTGAGGTAAGTCTTTAATAACGTTTTCATTAAATACAGTGAAAATGTGTGAAAAGCAACAATGAATGACAAACAGAAAAAAAAAAACAATAAATGATCTATCATTTTTACCAGTTGTTGCACAGTTGCTGGTTGCTAAATCTTAAATTAGCTGAATCTCATGGGGGAACCGATCATGCCAGGTCTTGAACGAAACTGTCAAGTAGTTGTGCTCTTTCCGTGTTTTCCTGCCTCCTTGCCTAGTCGGGTTTTGCATTCCACCTGTTGCTAAGGAAAACAATGACTATCCAACAAATGATAAATCCACTCACATTAAGGTGTTTGGGTGTTGATGTGTGAGTAGATCGCCAACTACATTCAAAGAGAGGCACAGTGGATGGGAGAAAGTTTGGAATTCGACAGACCTGGGTGGCACTGTCCCGTGTGACCAGGCCTAGTTAGTGACAGCTGTCTGAGCTTTGGCTTTCTCAGTGGTAAAAGGGGCAGTCAGTGGTGTGCTAGACCAGGTCGATGAGAGCCAGTTGTTAAAATATCAGA